TTTTGAAATAAACTGAGCCAAAGACATTCAACATTCCTGGCCACCTGGAAGTGATCACATCCTGAGTGGTTCACAGTGTGAGACTCTTGCACTGAAGGAGTCTGAAAACTCAGCAAACTCTAGACAAGAAGGACATGAGGTCATTTTAACTCCTCCCGTCACCGTCACCACTAATCTCCCTGGACGAGGTCCTTCCTGTGATTCTGGCCTTTGAGCAGCCATATCTTAAAAGGCGGAGTCCCATTGTCACCTCCCAGCGGCTGGAAGACGGGTTTGGTGGGAAAGAGCCTCTGGCAGTTGGCTCCCCCGGGGGACTCTAGGCCGAGCCTCATGTGCAGCCGGGCTGGAAAGGGGACAAATGTAGCCGGGGGGACCCTCGTGTGCGAGCATGAGCCACAGATAGGAGCCTTTCGGCTCTCTCCGGAGTAGCCCAGGAGCGAGCAGGGCACGAGGCAGTAGCTGACAGGACCAGGGCTGGGCCCAGCAGCTGTCTAGGCCCCGACATCAGCCAGGCTGGCTCACCAGAGACGTTTTGGTGCCTGACACCATCTGCTGGGCCAGCAGAGCTGCAGGGCCAGGTAGCACCGGTGGGTTGACGCGGCTGGGGACGTCGGGCGAGGCCGTGGCACCGGGGACCCAGGGGAGGGCGGGTGGCTGTGCGCAGAGGGGCAGGAAGGACACAGCAGTGGCCACTTATCACTCTGATCATTTTCTTCTCCTCAAGGGGACTTGTCCCCATTTCCGGAAGCTACCGTGGGAGTGCCGGGTGCTCTGGGCGGCTGTCAGGCAGTGTGATGTGGCAGCAGGAGCCGCGCTGGGGCTCCCGGGGCCCTGCCCTGGCCGTGTGGTTCTTCCCCTGTCGGGTCCCGTTTTCCCTGTCTGTACAACGAAGGCTTTGGACTAGATCTCTCCTAAGGCCCTTTGCGGCTCTGAAATCACAAGCTCCGTGGGTGTGAGCACATCCTTGGGTCTCTGAGGGGCTCCCCTGCTCGGTTCCCTGGGCAGAGTGTGGATGAGGCCCCAGGCTCACCCCTGGGGACCCGCTTCCACCCTCCCTGAGGCACAGGCGGGGCTGGCTGGGGACCGAATCCCTCGGTGCTGTGGACATGACCAGCCCAGCCCGTTCCTCCCCTCTGCCATGGAGGGCAGCGAGCCCAGGGCAAAGGGTGGCCCTGTGGTCAGCAGCTTCGGCAGGCGGCGGCAGGGAGGGCTCAACCCTGAGCCACTGCAGAGGCTGCCTCATCTCTCCCCATCAAAGCACCCACCCTTCATTCCTGCACGCGCCACTGCCGCCTCCTGCGAGAAGCCTTCCCGGCCACCGAGCCATGCAGTCCTCCCTCTGGACGGGCACTGGTCTCTCCTGTACCTCCCTGTGACTCTGTGCCTGGCGTCGGGGTGCGTGGCCCTGACTGCCCGCCCAGCAGCCTGCAAGCCTGAGCCAGGGCTGTCCTCACGGCTCCGCCCCGTGTGCCCCGGGGCACCCGGCATCCTGGATGTCCTCAGCTACTGCTGGGTTCCAGGGACAACGTGAAATGCCGCAGACTTCTGCAATCTCAGAACTGCAAGGGCCTTTGATAGTCACCTCGTCCCAGTCCCAGCCTGCCGCCGGTCTCCTGAGAGCGGGGCACGGCCAGAGGCAGGGCTCGCCTCCTTCCCACGGGCAGCGGTTCCCTGCGGCGAGCTGCCTGCACGGCGCTCCTACTCCCGTGAGGCTGGTTCTTGCTCACAGGAATAAAGGTTGCCTTAAAGCCGGCCTCGTGTCTACGGGGACCACAGGGACCCGCGAATGGCCAGCCCTCCGGGCCACGTCCTAGCGGGTCAGGGACCTTTGTAGCCAGCAGGACACAGGTGTCCTCACGTGGCCCCCACACCCCTGCTGAAGAGGCACAGGTGGGAGAAGCACCCAAGAGGCTGCAGGAGAGAGAAGGTTCCCTGCAGGGGCCAGCGCCGCCCCCGGGGCTGCAGGTAGACGTTTGAGTAGGGGCAGGTGGCAGCACCAGGGTCCCTGATGTCCGTCCCTCGCCCATCAGGGCCGACACGTGACCTTCCCAGGCAGCCGCTGGGCAGGGCTGGGGGGACCAGCCATCCTGCCCTGGGCTGCCGCCAAAGTCGCCGTCACAGTCCACCGCGGGGGCACCGGGCGGCGGCTGTCCTCACAGTTTCTTCTTCTTCACCACAGGGATGGGCACGACCTGGAAAATTTTGGCCTTGTGGTCCCCGGTGTCCAGAGTAACCCAGATGGGCCGGAAGCTGCCTTTGAAGCCCACGAAAGCCATTTTCTCTGGAAAGCAATGATGGGTTGCGTGAGTAAGACCCCTCCGATAACGGCCGCCCCACCCCCACCAGGCTCCCCAGCCCCACCAGGCCCCCCTTCGCCACGCTGCGCTGCGCCCCTCTGGGCAGGTCTCGTTGCCTGGCCGACGGTCCCTGACGTTTGTGCGTATGGGGTGTGCCCCGTGGCCACCTGGGCAGGTGTGGCTCCGCTTTGCCCAGGACAGCCGCACACAGCAGGGGATGGGGCGTGCCGCGAGGGAGGACGCCCCCAGGAACCCGCTTGCCTTTGAGCGGACACTACTGTCACTAGCGAGTCCCTGCCCCTCTCTGAAGCCCGGTGTCCCCATCTGCCAGACGACGGCACTGGTCTGCCAGGTCCCTTCCCCGGCTCTGTCACCCTGTGGCTTTGGAAGGAGGTTCTGAGAAGTGAAGGAATTTGTCCGGGGCCACGGAGTAAACGGTGCAGCCCAGGTTAGAACTCTGGACCCCGGGAGCCCGTGAGGCACGCTCGTCCTCGCAGAGCCTGAGCGCCCAGGGCCGTGGGATCCTCGTCCAGATTCGGGAACAGCCCGGCCTGGCAGGCGGCACATGTTTGTCACCCCGGGTGAGCGCCACTCGGCTTAGGTCACCTTGCACACGTCAGCGTTTGGCAACAGGGTCTGAATTTAAAAGACAGAGGCCCCAGAATAATTCCAGGCCTGGGCTGGAAAAGACGCTTCTCTTTTCCTGGGGTTCTTCTTTGGCTGGTTTGAAGGCCGCCGCTCTCTCTGACTGACTTTGCTCCCGTTGCTGTCTGGGATGGACATCCCATAGTTTTCCGCAGTTAGGATGGTGAAGTAGCTAAGAAGCCTGGCTTTGCATAGGGAAGATGAGGCTCCGAATCCTGACCTTGAGCACGTGGCTTAACTGTCTCGTTCTCGGCGCCCCCATCTGACACGGAAATAACAGCACCACCGCTCAGGCGGTTAGCGGGCGGTGAGATAGTCACACGGCGTCAGCCGGAGGACGGCTGAACACGACGGCAGCCACAGCGACCCCTACCCTCTGTGGGGGTGCTCTCCTGCCCTCGCCGCCTCCCCCAGGACTCTCTGAATCTAGTCTCTGAGGACATTCCCGTCCAGCAAGTCTGCGCTGGGCTTGACCTCAGACGCGCGGCGTGACCCTGGACAAGCCGGGTGGACTGTGTGGGCTTTCGCTGTCTCCCCTGTGCCTGTCTCAGAGGAGCCAGTCGGAGCTCTGCCAGCGGCACAGGGCTGAGCAGAGGTCGGGCGCCAGCTGGGGTGCTGAGCAGGGCGTGGGGCCCCAGCCAGTCGGGGGAGCAAGAGCTGCACAGGGGTGAGACGGAGCCACGTCTGATGACACTTGGTTGAGTGACCAGCCCACCTGCTGAGCAGATGAGTGAACAACTCCAGCGATTTTCTTTCAGCGTCTGGTCGCAAGTTAAAGTGGAGTCGCTGCAGTGCAGGGCGGTAAATAGGTGGCGACCGGCCCGTCCGTCGCGGTAGACCTCGCGCTGTGCTGAGGCCTCCGAGACCGGACCCAGCTTCGTGGGACAGGGCAGGGACTGAACAAGGGACCTAACGCAGCTTCGTGGGACAGGGCAGGGTCTGAGCAAGGGACCGAACGCAGCTTCGTGGGACAGGGCAGGGACTGAGCAAAGGACAGCAGCCTCCGTGCCCGGCCTGTGCCTTCCTCAGCTTGGGGGCAGTTTAGGCCCAGCCCACGCCCTTACCTTTCAACTTGACACCCTTGTCTGCCCCAAGCTTCTCCAGCGCTCTGGTCCACGGGCCTCTGGAGATGTATCTTCCCTTCGACGCCACGAGGACTATGGAGCTGAGCGAGAAGAAACGGATTAGATGGCCGCAGTGAGCGAGCAGACCGGCGCCAGGGGCCTGGGGAGGGTGTGGAGTGTGGTGGTGGGACCCGAGCTGGCCGTGCCCGGGGCCTGGCCAGGGATCCGGCAAAGGGCAGCCTCTCCCACGGGCCGAGCCCACGGGCTCTTTCCGTGCGGTGACGCGCATCTGAGCGCCCTCCCACGCAGCCGGCCAGAGCTGGCGCCCGTGGCCTTCTCCAAGCCTGGCCCGGCTCGTGCTTTCACACGTCTGTCCCCAGGCAGGACAGGGTGCGTGGCAGAGCGCGCCATCCAGGCCGGCACCTGCGCCAGGACAGGGCTCCTGGCAGGACTTCAGCCCGCGTTTCCTCGTGTGAGTGTTCCCAGCCCCGTTGGGCAGGACAGGAGCATGGGGACGGGGAAGCCCACCACAGGAGCGGCCCAGGAGGAGGGCAGCGAGGGAGGGAGGGCCAGAGCATCTGTCAAACCATGGAGCCACCCAGGAGCCCCCGACGGCACTGGCGCCTGGGGGACCAGCCACACTGGCGTCACCTGGGACCTCCTGCGAACCCCAGACCGGCCCCGCAGCAGACCTTCCACGTGGAATCTGCGTATGACAAGCTCCCCAGGGGACTGTGGGCACGCTAAGGGGCCAGCAGCCCCATGCTAGGTCTCTCCCAGAGCCCGGGTTTCCTCTTTGCGTAGCCCAGAGCCAGCGCCCTGAGCTGCGGGAGTGGCCGGGTTTGAGACCTCTCTGGGGAGAGCGCCGTGTAGCTGCCACGTGCTTGGGCTGACCTCCTGCCTTCGTGTCACCGCCCTCCCAGGTCAGCAGGGCAGGGTTACGGCCTCCATTTTGCAGATGGAGAGACCGAGGCGACTAGTCACAAAGGCCCGAGAGGACCTGCTGAGGGGACTGTGCCTGGGAGGGCAGACGTGTGAGCGGCATGTGCCCAGCCCAAAGCCCAACTTTCACAAGTCCAGCTTGGGAACAGGCATGTCTGCTCCTCCTCAGGTGACGCACGTGTTCAGTCTAACGTCTGGGAACACAGCCTCGTGGCAGGCGCGGCGGGTGGCCAGATGGCAGGAAGTGAGCGCCCACTCAGGAACCGAAACGGGCGCAGGCTCGGTGGGGCTGCCAGCTCACATCCCTAAGGAGCTCCCGTGACCACAGACCGCAGTCCAGACGTGGAAAACCTGTATGGGATTCTGGAACCTGTCGTCGCCCTGTCTGTGTCCCACTGGGAGCTGCAGAAAAGCTCTTAAAGGGCAGAGAGCTTGCGGGCAGTCAGGACGGGGGAGGAGAGGCTGCCGCAGGAGGCCTGAAGGGTCAGCTGGGTGAGACCCGCTAAGGCGAGGGGGCCCACCGCAGACACATCCTCGACTTGGCTTCTGCCTCTGTTCCCGGGAGACGTTTCCCCCTCCTTCCATTTCAGAAGGAAGCTGACGGCCCCTGGGCGGAGCTCAGCCTTCCCGCCGGGTGGACTCAAGCGGAGGTCACGCCCTTTAGATGGGACCTGGGCGAGCCACAGCAGCGGCACAGGGAGATGGACTCCTCGTGCCACCACAGCCTGCTGACGCGGCCCAGAAGCCTGCCTGTCACACGAGGCGCCCCTCTTTCCTTAGTGTGCGTCCCACGTGGCCTCTGAGCCCCTGCGCCAGCCGGCACGGGGTCTCCCGTAGGGTGGCAGGGCAGAGGCAGCCCCAGGAAGCCATCCTCGATGTTTTTGGTGTGAGCAGCTGCCCTCTTCTTTCCCTGGGCCCCTGAGCCCCGTGGTGGCCTGTGGATGGGCGGAGCAGGACCTGCCTTGCCCAGTCCCTGCTGCTTTCCAGAGAGGGCTCTGGTGGTGCTGGTTCCTGTCTGGTACCCAGCGCAGCCCACGCCTAGCTGCCCCGCTAGGGCTCCCCCGGGGAAGTGCATGGGGGCTGTGGCCCGGGCTGAAAGGAGCCTCCCACGCTGTTCCGAACACAGCAGCCCAGTTCTAGGTTCTTATTCCAAGCTTCTGGGTCCTGTTTCATTTCCAGAAAAAGTCCCCTGGCCAAAAAAGGCATGACAACTACTGATCGCTAGATGACAAACGTGTTTTTCCAAAATTAGTAAATCTCGTCCTTCTGTCTGAATCTGCCCATGAAAACATAATGCCACAGAAGCGTCTGGGGCTGGGGGTAGCCGTGGTTGAGCAAATCTGCTTTCCAGATTCTCACAGAGCGTCCTGCTCACCTCCTGCCCAGCATAGAGGCAGCACCTGGGAAGTGCATTTGTTTTCATTCAGTGACTATTTACTGAGCACCTACTATGTGGCAGGTATCACGTCAAGCACTTAGACGTTCCGCCAGCTTGTGGCTCCTGAGTGAATTCCACACCATTGAAGGGCCAGGTTCTGTGCTAGAAATGCAGAAGTGAGCAGACGCGGCCCCAGTGTCGGGAAGGCGGCGCTCTGGGCGGGGCCACAGGCGTGTCCGCCAGTCCTGCTGTGCGTGGTGCTCTAGCAGAGGCAGCTTTTTGGTTGGATTGGAAGAGGCCTCACTAAGGAGGTGATGTGTGTGCTAGACCTGCAAGGTGGTGGGGAATGACCAAAGACTGCTAAGGAGGGGACACAGGCGGCCCCTACACTTGAGAAGTTCACGCCAGCAGCCAGTATGGAAGATGGGTTCAGGTTGGGGCGACTGGAAGAGGGGGGCGCGTTAGCGGGCCGTGGCTGGGTGGACAGACAGGGCCGCAGAAGAGAGGCTGGGAGTTCAGTTCCCTACGAGACGTCCAGGGGGCCTTCTCCAAGTAGCAGCAGGATCGGAACGTCTGGCGCTTAGGAAAGAGATCTGGGCTAGAGATGTCAGGAGCCGCCAGCGTTTGGATCGCACCGAAGGTGTGGGAGGGATGAGATCATGCCGGGAGCGCATGCGGCAAGGAGGGACGAGGGCCAGGGCAGCCTTCCCAGTCCTAAGGGGACAGTCCTGGCCGCCTCGCCTGACCTACATTCCCAGCAGCCCGGCTCCAGCGTGGAGCCCACGGGCTGGGCGCCTTCCCTGGGCAGCACCCGGGACCTGCAGGCAACTGCGGGCCCTCCCGGGGCGTTCTCAGGCCGGTCTGTGATGACGGCCTCAGGGACAGGGAGGGGCCCGAACCCAGGGGTCTGTTGTGCCGCTGGCCAGCGCCAGGGACAGAGGCACGGACTCACTTGTCGGGTATGGCTGCCACGTAGTTGAAGAGCTGCCACGGAATGCCCTGCAGAATGGAGTTCCGGAAGCTCGTGTGGCTCAGCACGTGCCCCTGGCGCCCGTCGATCACCACCACCTGGATGCCGTCCTCCGAGCCAGGGTACTTCCGCCCATCCACCTGCAGAGCCGCGGCAGCCCGGTGAGGGGGAAGCCCCCAGGTTCTCCGCCTGGGCGGTTCCCGGGCAGAAGGCAAAGACCGAGCTGCAGCGCAGCCGTTCAAAGCATCAACCCCGCTCCGTGCCGTAGAGCCCTCTGCGGTGGCCCGAATCGTGGTCCCCGAGACATACGCCCACCGGGAACCTGTTTGGAAACGGTCTTTGCGGACATAGTTAAGTGAGAGATTTCGGGACGAAATCGTCTAGGGTTTACAGGGGAGGCCCTAGATCCAGAGACAGGCGCAGAGGCAGACACCGCACAGGCTCCCTCAGGGGTCCCGGGGAACCGGCCCGCCAGCGCCCCGACTTCAGGCCCTGAACTGGGAGGGAATGACCGTCCCTGTTTTAACCGGGGCGCCCGTCTGTGGAGACTTGTTGCCGTGGCCTGGGGGCACTCACCTCGATGTGGGCCACGTCGCTGCGCAAGTGGAAGAGGTGCTGCCTGGTGCTCTCCATCTTCACCTCCAGGAAGCGGTCCTGGGTCTTCTGGGAGGGAACGAACCGTGCGGGGTCAGGCGGGGTCAGGCCTGGCCGTTCCCCCGGCGCGCCCTCCCCCGTCTCAGGAAGGGGTTCGCGGAGCTGAGCCGCTCGTGGTGTCCGGGCCCGACGGCGGCTGCCACTCACCAGCTGCGGACCGGAGAGCTTCCGGGGCATCGGCACGTCCACCACGGCCCTCTCGGCGAACTTGGGGTAGGCCGTGGCCGTGCAGTCGCTGACGCCCGCGTTCTTAGGGATGAGAGCCTTGATCTTTATCCTCTCGCAGCCTTTCACGGAGCAGAAGGCAAACTTCTCTCTCTCGTTCTGTGCTTTCAGCTTCAGGAACAGCAGCCTGCACACAGGGGCGTGGCTGGGCCTCAGCTTCGCACTCGAGCCGCCGCCTCCTCCCGCCACCCCCGCACGCGCTGCGCGCGCGTCCTTTGCTACGCGCTAAGACCCCGCAGGCCTTTACGACAGAGCCGTGTCCACCAGAGGGTCATGTGCAGTCGGAGAAATTTTAAAAAATGCACTGGAGGAAAGCCAGTCATGACAGCAGCTACGTTCTGAGCACGCGCCACCTGCCACGCCAGGCAGACACTGCACGTCGGCTTTTATCTCACTGAATCTTCAGTCCTGTCCTGTCCGCACCATGGCGTCCTGACCTGAGCCGGGAAACCGCGGCTCAGAGACGTGCAGGGACGCGCCCAGGACCACGCAGCCGGGAAGTGACAGAGCTGGGTCCCCATCGCTGTGCCTGGCGAGGGAATGCTCTCTGCCTTCCTAACTCCGGTTTTCTCCAAACCATGATTTATCCCAAACATAATTTTATAACTTGTTAGAAGTGATTATTGTGACGAAAGCTGGCTCCATGGTCCGGGGGGGTCAGAGTATGAGGAAGCCATGGCAGTAACCTGGGATTCGTGGCCACTGTTCCTTTAGCTCAGAAAAATGCTTTCAGGCTGAGTCCCACGTCTGCCACGTAAGAAGACGCCACGCGGCCTATCTAGCACAGACCCTCTCTGCGAGACGTGCCCCAAGCCTCATCAGACCACAGCGCTGGGGTTGCTCCACACTGCCACGATCCCCAGTGCCCACCACACAGCGGGGCCCACGTGGGACCCACAGAGGGGCCACGGATTGGCTGCCTAGTAACCAAGAAGAGTCCCCCTCTCTCAAGGCCCAGCGGGTGCTGTCAACTCCTGGCTGGTGCGTGGCGGGAAGGCCACGTGGAGTGGGCTGGCTCAGCCACTCCATGCCACGTGCCTGCTGAGGGACTGGGAGAGGGTGGCGGCACTCAGCAGGGGGCTGACACGAGAGGCCGGTGCGTGTGCACGCGTGGGAACGTGGGGAGAAAGGGAGAAGGGAGAGGTGGGCGGGCCACCTCCACCCAGGGCCCTGGCTGGGTTCGTGCGTCTTGAAGACGCCTTGGTGTCCCCTCAGGAGCACGGCCACTTTGTCTGAGCTCCCTCCAGTGGCTTTCTGTTGCAAGCCACCCGCATCAAGAACTTTGTGTTTCTTGCACCAAGTGATCCCTGCATGGAGTAGAAACTGCTGGAGGGTCCCACGCCCAGGGCTGAGAGCGGAGCGCACCCCACCTGCGTTCTGTGCCCTGCGCGGCTCAGAGCAGCTGGCGCTGCCCACGGCCACGTCTCCCCTGGAGGCTCCCAACCCTCCAGCACCAACGCGCAGAAGTGGGGTTGGTCCTGGGGCTTCCGCACAAGACTTGACAGTGTTGGGGCTTCCTTGTTGCCATAGTGCAGCCGATTATCTGAACCGGGAGGACCCAAAAGACCTCGCCCACGCCTCTCGTTTTACAGATAGCAGCTGCCCTCCCAGCTCTGACCTGCAACTTGGACTTGTCGCAGTCGGCTGACCTGTGCGGTCCTGGCAGGTACGAGAGCAGCACAGATGCCTGCCAGCCTCTCTCAGATCCTGGCTGCGACCAGGTCATGTTTCAGGGCTGTCCCCCGTCAGTACCCCATGGATTCGTAATTTAATAATCCCTGCTTAGATGGCAGCTGGTAAACTCAGCTATCCAGGGTTTCTGTAACCTGGCAACACTGAGAGATGACTCAGAGCCTATGTATTCCACACACTCCCTACTTATTTTTATTTTGCCCTAATTACAACAAGCTGGTCGTCAAAGTGTCCCGGCCAGTAACACATAGGACGGTAGCCACTGTGGCCGGCCGCTGTCCATCCGAGAAAGAGATCATGACAAATTTTTAAGGCAGAAAGACTAAAAACAGCCCTGAGAGTTCAACAAGCCTGAGTGTGGAGCCCTTCTCCGTAGGAGACAGCACCCTACGACCCAGCCCGTCCGGAGGGTGTCACTGCATGGAAGCCCAGCCTATCAGTTGATAGGCATATTGATCAGCTAAGCCGCCAGCAAAAAGGCTGAATTACGTGGCAAAGCCTGCTTAAGGTGATAAGGGGACAAATCATAGATTTTAAACGTTTTGATCAAAGCGGTTGAACTTGCTTAGTGGCAGTTTCCATTTGAAAAATTCCCATCTTTTGAGCATCCCATTTCCCATGACGCTAAAAGAAGAGAAACCTGCGTGGACGGTGTCACGGGAATGCCACCTTCCTTGCATTTGGTTCTTTTTTTTTTTTTTTTTTGAGACAGAGTCTCACTCTGTTGCCCGGGCTAGAGTGAGTGCCGTGGCGTCAGCCTACCTCACAGCAACCTCAAACTCCTGGGCTCAAGCGATCCTCCTGCCTCAGCCTCCCGAGTAGCTGGGACTACAGGCATGCGCCACCATGCCCGGCTAATTTTTTCTATATATATTTTTAGTTGTCCGATTAATTTCTTTCTAATTTTAGTAGAGACGGGGTCTTGCTCTTGCTCAGGCTGGTTTCGAACTCCTGACCTTGAGTGATCCACCCGCCTCGGCCTCCCAGAGTGCTAGGATTACAGGCGTGAGCCACCGCGCCCGGCCTCGCATTTGGTTTTTGAATCACAATACTTCCTACCGCTACATGGGGCGATCCAGCTCCTCCTCCGGTTTTCACACGGGAGGGTTTTCCTAAACGCTCCTGGCCTCCGCCCAGCCCCTCGTCCACTTTGTCCCGGGGCGGCGAGGGCTGATCTGATCGGTGGGCCGGGCACGGGCTCAGCCCACGGAGAGAGGCGCCCTGTCCTGCCTGCCACGCCCTGAGCTTCAGGGGCCGCAACTGCTCGGCGCTGCCTGGGGCCAGGGAGGAAAAACTGGGGCAGAACTGGGAAGCTTTGTTCTCAACGGCGCCATCAGCAGCGGGCCCAAACGCAGCGCCGCCGGCTGTGTGCTGTGGTGGGCCAGCAAGTCACTCTCTTTCCCTAATGCAGAGATAAAGCCCTCTGCTCCCGCGGGTGGTGAGGATTTGGGATAACGCACTGTGCTTCGTGGATCCCAAGGTTACTGCCTTCACCTTTCTCCTGAAATGGGGATAGTCCCTAAAGCCCACGTGTATGTAATAGGGTGTTTGTTTTAATCCCAAAGCTTAATAGTGTTAAAGTGTCACTAGAGCACACGGCCCAGTGCGTGCCTAGGAAAGTGTCACATTAACCAGCACCAGCTACGTGGCCGTTCCCGGCGTCACTGGGAAGGCCGGGCACGAGACGAGGCCAAGCCGCCGTCCTGCAGCCCAGGGGCGCCCACTCACCCCGAGTCCTCGTCCCAGTAGTAGTGGCTCCTGCCGGGGTGGCCGTGCTCCAGCTTCTCCATCTGCAGGGTCCTCGCGAAGGTGCCCGTCTTGGACGTCCGCTTCAGCAGGCGATTGTGCACATCCGAGAGGATGGAGAAGGTGGTGCCTCGCGGGTAGCAGAGCCCCACTCGGATCCAGTCGCCCCTGGGAGTGGAAGTAGAGGCAGGTCACAGGCGAGGATGTCCAGGCCACAGGGCCTTCCGCACGTCAGAGAGAGAGAGAGACCCAAGAGTCCCCACCAGACGGCCCCCCATTTCTGCAGGGGCGTGTGGAAGGACCCTGCTGTGGTACTGCCTGAGTGCACCGGGCAAGGAGAGGGACAGAAGGTGGCTCCCGCTGAGAGAGGAGCCCCCGGACGGGTCCCAGCGTCCGCACTGGCTGGGAGAGGACGTCCTCTCGCTGGGCTGTAAAGGTCACAGGGTCTGAAGGACCTCGGTTCGGCCCCTCCGGGTCCAGTGCGATTGGAGGGCCCATTTCATCTCTTTGGGTCTCATTTTCCACGTCTGATAACGTCTTTCTCACAGGAATACTATGGCAGGTAAGCGATGCGCACAGAAAACACCGGAACATAAATACACGAAGCCCTGTCTGATGCCCTCGGCCTGATCACTTGCCGAGCCTCATCGCTCTGTAAAGTGGTGACAGCAACACCCAGGGGTTTTGCCATCTAATGAGCACCTGGCAACGCCAGGTCCGGGGGACGCCTGCCGCACGTCATCCCACCCCATCCCACTGCACGCCTGCGGGTAGCGCCTCCCCATCCCAAAGACGGGGGAAGGGAGGCCCCCAGAGGTCAGGTGCCCCGCCCAAGGCCACCCAGGCCCACTGTGGGGGCTCAGCCTGATTCTTGATGCCCGGGTGGTGTCAGCTCTCCAGATGCCTCCTGCAGGGGTCACCTGGGTGGCCGGAGGTTCTGTGCACGGCAAGCCCGAGACTTCGAGCTCAGCCAGGACAGCCGTCCCCGGCCACACCGGGCCTGGCCGGGCGCCCACTCACTTGTTGAAGTTGATGAGCCAGATGGCGAGTTCCGCGGGCGCCGTGTGGTCCCAGTGGATGGTGTAGCCCTTCCGCAGCGTGACGACCGGCTGGTACTGCTGGTAGTGGGTGCTCCGGGTGAGGGCGCCCTCCAGGTGCAGGGGGTGGCTGGGGAAGTCGTTCTTGATGATCTTCATCCGCAGGTTACTGGTCTTATAGGCTTGGATGTACATCTTTTAAAACCCAAAAAGGAAACACACAGTGAGGCTACGTACGGGGGATTATTCTGAGCGCGCCTGGTTAATGTCTGACCGCAGATCGCGTGTGCCAAGGCGTCTTCTCACTGCGGCCCCGTGAGGAGGCTTGCGCGAAAGAAAGGCCAAATAAGGGGGTGCAGCCAGTGCCGCCGCTTCATCCCACAAGGTGCTCCGCTGAGGGGCTACCGGTGGAAAACTGGGGGGAATTTGCTTCACAGCAAGGTGGCAAATTCCGGGCAAAGGAGAGAGCCGTGGAAGGAGGAGGAGGGCGAGAACATTCGTGACTCCACTGTGAAGGCAACTCGCCGTGCCCGGCGGGGGCTCTGCCCACATTGGACAGCATCTCAGCGTCTGGTCCCCAAGGCCAGTCCATGTGGTGTCAGTGACACTAGATGAATAAATGGTGGCGCATTTCACACAAAACACTGAGAGCAAAACTGCCAGCATTGAGTTCTGGGACCACAGTGCCCAGACGCGCTAGCCCAGCCTCAGCGTAAGACACCGAGCCCCACCTTACGGCACAGCCCGCGCTCACAAGGCGACGTCCTGTTGCTGTGGCCAAGAGAGGCCACCGCCACGTCAGTGACACCGTGCTTCGGAAGGAAGGCCTTGCCCTCCTGTCTAGTGTTACCACCCAGGGGACGTTAGGAGAAGCTTCGCCTCTGCCCACCTGCTGCAGCTCCACGAGTACTGGGAGGTACAGGCGCGTGGAAGCATTTCCTAAGCTGCCAAGTGGAGGAAGGAGATTAACTAACCACTTGCAGTTCCCACAGCCTGGCTCCAACCAGCAGCCATTTTCTGCAGAGCACAAGCAACGCGTCAGAGGGAAAGGGCGGGAGCAACACGAAGGCTGCTCGAGGACGCGGAGCACGTGGCCGGGGGCCCGCGGGTCTGGGCGTCCTCCAAGTGACAGGCCTCCACCTGCCAGCTCCCTTCTGACTCCATGTCCCTCCTTGTCTTGCCAGCCCACCC